AGTTAAAGAAGTATGGGCTGGATGAATGGACTATAAGGTGGATAGAAAGCTGGCTTGATCACCTGGCTCATTGGGTAGTGATCAATGGCTCCATGTCTAGTTGGCAGCCGGTATCAAGCGGCCTGCCCCAAGCGTCGGTCCTGGGGCTGGTTTTGTTCAATATCTTCATTAATGATCTGGAGGATGGCGTGGTAGATACGCTGGAGGGTAGGAATAGGATACAGAGGGACCAGTGCATGGGATTCTTCCGTCCTAAGTGCAGGACTCTGCACTTGTCCTTGTTGAACCTCATCAGATTTCTTTTGGCCCAATCCTCTAATTTGTCTGGGTCGTCTGTATCCTATCCCGACCCTCCAGCATATCTACCACTCCTCCCAGTTTAGTGTCATCTGCAAACTTGCTGAGGGTGCAATCCACGCCATCCTCCAGATCATTAATGAAGATATTGAACAAAACCGGCCCCAGGACCGACCCTTGGGGCAGGCCACATGATACCGGCTGCCACATCTGGCTCTTCAGACGTTTTAATCCAGCCCTTGAGCTCCTGCCAGGGAGTGGGGTCCGGGGCTTGCCCCGCTCTGGCACTCCAGCCGGGGGCTTGCCCCGCTCCACGCGTGCTGTGGTTCTGCACAGCTCCTGGAGCAGCAGCATGTCCCACCTCCGGCTCCTATGCATAGGATCAACCAAGGGGCTCTGCAGCTCCCATTGGCCAGGAACCTTGGCCAATGGGAGCTGCGAGGCAGCATCTGCGGATGGGGCAGCGCGCCGAGCCGCCTGGCTGCGACGCCACATAGGAGCCGTAGGGGGGACATGCCGCTGCTTCCGGGAGCTGCTTGAGGTAAGCGTGGTCTGGAGCCTGCACCCCGACCCCCTCCTGCACTCCCAACCCCTCATCCCCAGCCCCACCCCAGAGCCTGTACTCCCAGGCGGAGCCTTCACCCCCCTCCTCACTCCAACACCCTGCCCCAGCCTGGAGCCCCCTCCCGCACTCTGAAATCCTCTTTTCTGGCCCCACCCCAGAGCCTGCATCCCCAGCCGGAGCCCTCATCCCCTCCCGCACCCCAACCCCCAATTTCATGAGCATTCATGGCTCGCCATACAATTTCCATAGCCAGATGTGGCCCTTGGGCCAAAAAGTTTGCCCACCCCGATCTAGATTAAGTGGTTTTTCTCACCCCACTGGATATTGCAATTCATAGTACTCAGGTTTCACCCCTTGAAACCTGGGCCAGTCCCCTCTGTTGGAGTCTTCAGAGTGTCCCTGTTGCTTGCAGCCTAGGAGGGGGAAGGAGAAAGGCCATGCATGGGGCCCTTGTGTTCTGTTTTATACCCTTAGTCCCGTGTGCTTGGAGAACACAAGTCCAGGGCATATCTGGTGGGCATTCTTAAGTCACAAGGTGAAGCAATACCTTGGTGTGTCTCCTGTGAGTCACTGAATTGTAACTCCTCTGCTGGGCAATGGCTGGTGATGTCTGTTCAGCACCCACCCGGGCGTTGGCTACCTCCCGTGTCATTGTCTCTGGAGAGCTTGTATCTGGGCACCTCACAAACCCACAGCATATTTTAGTGAAAGCCATACAACACATTCTCATAATTTCACATGCATTAATGATATACATATTTAGATAGAACCATGGTTTTCAGCAGATCATAACCTTTACCTTGATACCTCACACGGCCTGCTTTACATGCAATATCACAATTATATATACATGAGGAATATGGGGGTTACAGGACACTTCCCCCAAGGTCACACAGTGGTCTGTAGAGAGAAAGCAAAAGCAAAGTGATTCATGTTTCTGCATGTACTACACACCAAGGCAGACTAGTGTACCAGGCTGAAGTTAAATTAAGCAGTGTCTTCACTCATTGTTATTCACTCAGTTTGGATCAGTGATTGATCACTCTGCATCTGGAAACCAAAAATCAAGTGCCCCATGGCCTCTCCAAATGTCAGGACTTGTAATTCAAGTAGATGAATGATTTCTTATCAAGCAGGCGGAGATCTTTGTTATATGCTTTCCTACCATTCCACTGCTTCTTGGGACCATACACAACCTGCATAGTGTGGCAATGATATTGTTTATGCCTTTCTGGCTGAAGAGGCTATGGTTTTCAGGCTGATTAACTCAGTATTGAATCTCCTGATCCTTTTGCATTGTATAGGAGGTCTGCTGATGGTTGTAGATTAAGTCCTTGAGCAAATCCCTCAACGACCATTTAGGGATGAGCTCGGAGACCCTCCCAATTTGTATGAAGAACAACAAGGCAGCAGATCTAGATGGGATCCCCGCTGAAATCTTTAAAGATGGTGGACCAGAGCTAATTTGGCAGCTTTACCTGCTTATCCTTAAAATCTGGATAAAGGAGGAGATACCCAGTGAAATGAGGGATGCCCTGATTGTCACCCTCTTCAAGAAAGGGGATAAAGTAGATTGTGGAAATTATTGTGGTATCTCCCTCCTAGCCATTGCAGGCAAAGTTCTAGCGCAGATCCTTGCAACTTGCCTTCTGCCCCTGTCAGAAGAAATTTTACCGGAGTCACAGAGTGGTTTCTGACCGTGTCATGGAACTGTGTATATGATCTTCAGAGCACAGCAGCTGCAAGAAAAGTGTCAGGAGCAAAACCGACCACTGTACATGGCTTTTATTGATCTAACTAAAGCCTTTGATTCAGTGAATCGCTGTGCCCTCTGGACTGTACTTTCTAAGATTGGATGTCCTGATAAATACATCAATGTCCTAAAATTGCTTCATGATAACATGAAAGCGACTGTTCTGGGCAGCACTGGCTCCCAGAGTGAACCTTTCAAAGTACAAACAGGAGTCAAACAGGGCTATATCATCGCTCCAACCACGTTTGCGGTTTTTATTGCTGTCATTCTTTACCTAATTGCTGGGAAGTTTACAGCTGGCGTTGAAATCATTTACAGAATGGATGGAAAAGCTGTTCAGGCTTAGCAGGCTGAAAGCCAAGAGAGAGATCTCCACAACATCTATTGTGTAACTTCAGTATGTTGATGACAATGCAATCTTGCCCACTCTGAGAAAGATCTTCAAACTATCTTGAATGTGTTTGCCGATGCTTAGGCATGTCTTGGTTTCACTCTTAATATCAAGAAGACTAAAGTGCTCTATCAGTCCTCTCCAAATGAGGTATTACATGCCCCGTCTATCAAAATCAATGGAGTGGCACTGGAGAACGTCAATCATTTCCTCTACCTTGGAAGTCATCTTTCATCCAAGACAGATATTGATGCAGAAATTCAACATCGCCTCAGCTGTGCCAGTGTAGCTTTTTCTCGTTTATGGCACAGGGTTTTTGAAGATCATGACATTCGAACAGACACCAAGCTTCTTGTTTATCAAGCCATTATTCTCCCAACACTGTTGTATGGGTCTGAAACTTGGACAACCTACAGACACGACTTGAAAGTCCTTGAGAGATACCATCAGTGCTGCCTTCGTAAGATTCTGAAGATCAAATGGGAAGACAGGTGCACCAATATTAGTGTTCTGGAGGAGGCAAAGACCACCAATATCGAGGCAATGGTACTCCATCAGCAATTCCACTGGACAGGACACATTGTCCGGAGGCCAGACCATCGCCTCCCAAAACAGGTCCTGTTCTCTCAGCTGAAAGAAGGGCACCATAACGTGGGTGGACAACGGAAGCATAATAAGGACTTGCTGAAGGACAACCTGAAAAAGTGTTATATTGACACTTGGGAGACACTTGCCCAGGATTGCTTAAAACGGAGTGAAGTCCTATGTGATGGTCCCCTGCATTTTGGACTTGCTCGCCAACATGCTGAAAAGGACAAGAGGTGCAGGAGGAAGGAGAGACTGGCTTCCAGTCATGGTCAACAGCCTCCTGCTGAGCCTGAAAATATCTGCCCTCCTTGTAATAGACAAGGATTGGCCTTATTAACCACCTGAGGACCCATAACTCCCATGGAAGATGATCATACTCTGTAATGAGTGATCGCCCAAAGATCAGTCATCCATCTTTAGGACAAGACAGATTCAAAACGGTTACACATATGAGGTGATTAACATCCTCGTGGACCCAGAAAGAAGTCAGTGACCAGAACTTTTTCTATTAGCTGGTGCAGAATTCATGGTTTAAGGATGGAAAAACAGTTTTGAACAGTCTCAGGTTCCTTCAGGAAGGCCTTAATATGGTTGTATAAAAACGTCCAAGCTAAAGGTCACGTCTCCACACTATGATGTAACATTATGTTCAGGAACATAAAGTTCAGGGCAAATCCTGACATCAAATACTTCCTGTGTGGCACTACCTCACAAGGTCATTGAACAAAACCATGGGACCTTAGCGTCAGCATCCAACAGTTCATATTGCTTTCTGGATAAGTATTTTGCTGCTGCCCGCTAGTTTTGTAGCTCAGGTGGTAGCAGACTATGGTCCAATGCTGAAAGTTGAGATTAAACCCTGTCTCTGATGCATGATGGGAGAATTGTAGAAGAAAAAGAACAGCTTTCTGTAAGTAACTTCCTGTCTTGAGAGTGTTTTTAGGTTGCAAAGTCAAGAAGTTGGAATCTAGTAGCCCGCACAACCATAATTTGGCTCTCTTGTGCGTATGCATTGTGATGGTCTTTAATTACATGATGACATACTATTTCCAAAGGTCCCCAGCTTCTTGCAGATTATAGGATTGATGGACAAAGGAGGCAGAATTAAATTGCATGGGTAACTGTAAAACTGGCATTTCTTAACTGTTTGAGTGGTTGATTTTGCAATCTAAATAAAACTGAAGAGGTTTTTTTGGTATGTGATAAATAGAATAGATAGTAGCTGTGACCTACTGTTCTGTGCAATATTCACTTTTTTTAATAACACGTCTGTGACATCTGTGGTGGTTGCATAATGGCTGCCACGTTATGTCCTTAAAGCTGTGCCATGGTGATGCTTTATATTCTAGAATGTTTGTCTAGAGTATGAAAGGTACTACATCAAATAAATCTCTATTTTTCCTTAGTGTTCCATCAATGATGGTGCAGAGTTCAAAGCAGTGGCAGATGCTATGAAAGTGATAGGCTTCAAACCAGAGGAGGTTCAAACTGTCTACAAAATTTTGGCTGCCATTCTTCACTTGGTGAGTTCCCTGCATGTGGGTTTGTGGAAGCTGTTTTTCCAGGATTGCAATGGCAGGGCAGCCAGGCTGTGTTACTTGTGTTACTGTGTGACTTCAATAGTCGAATTGTTCTAGCAGATGCAGTTGGAAGTGCTGTTTGTTTTGAAAAGTCAACACTATTCCTGCCTGCCAGTAGTGGGTCAGATTTCCCTGTGAGACCACTGTGATCATCTGGTCTGACCTTCTGTATAACACAGGACTTCGAATTTCCCCACAATAATTCAGACTAATGGCTCATCAATCTTCATGTCAGCTTTTCTGGTGATGTCATTAAACTGGAAACATATTCTAGGACTTTGTGGTGAGCTATAGTGAAGATGGAAAGGATAAATATAAATAATCTGTGGGTTCTGCTTAGTGTCTTTAAATTCCAACTCCTCTCTAGACCCCTGGCTTGTAACAGTCTTTGCCTGATTAAACTTTATTTGAATTAGTTTGTCATAACTTCGTTCCTTGAATCCTGCTAAATACTAAAGGTCAAATCCTTCTTTTGGTCACAGGCAAAGGCGAAGCTTGGGTGGGTGGGTGGGGTCAAGAAGGGTCACATGCCCCTCCCCAGACGCCCAGGGGGAGGCACATTCAGCAGGGAACTACAGTGGTGAAAGGAGCAGAACGTGGGACCGCTGAGTGGCCACACGCCGGCAGCTCCTCCGGCGTGGCTGTACTGCCTCAGCCCCGCCCTTCCACGCAGCTGTGACTCCTGGGGTCTGTACAGCCCCACTGGAGGACAGGGCTGGGGGTGGTACTTGGACAGCTATGCCAGAGATGCTGCCTGTGTCAGGCCTCCTTCCTTTCGCTGCGGGAGGACAGAGCCCCACCCCAGGTAACGTGGGATGGGGAGGGGACGGGGAGAGCGGGGGGCCCAGGCTGGGGGCAGGGCAGGGAGGAGTCACGGGAGGGGGGGTCACGTGGTAGGTCACGTGGGGAAGCCACATGCCCCCTTAGCTGGTGGCCCCCTTTGTGTCCCTCCCATGAGTCGCCCATGAGTGGAGCATACAATACTGAGGACAATTTAGCCTGAATTTAGAAATGTGCTAATGGTGTTCCATTTGTTGATGAATTGAACAGCAGATCACTCCCTGGAAATGAAGTGCTTACTTCAGCTTTGCTGATAATATTCTCAGCAGAGGCACATTGAGCAATCTTGTTTTTCGCTACTTGCTACAGGGGAATTTGAAGTTTTCAGTGGATAGCGACACGCCTGTGATTGAAAATGGCAAGGTTGTGTCGGTAATTGCAGACTTGCTGTCAACAAAGTCTGACATGGTGGAGAAGGCCCTGCTTTTTCGAACTGTAGCTACAGGCCGGGATGTCATTGACAAGCAGCACACAGAGCAGGAAGCCACCTATGGCAGAGATGCTTTTGCAAAGGTGAGTCTGAATTCCCTTTCTATAAGTCTGTGCTAGTTTGTCATGCAACAATTTCCAAAACCCCTGGCTCAGTTTTTGCTCTTTAATTTCACAAATGATAGGAGCCCATGGATGAATGAAATTATTGCAAAGTCCAACATCTGTGTAGCAAAAGGTTCAGCAAAGAGTGCAGATGCTTAATGAAGTTGTAAGAGAAGATCACAAGGTTTTGGGGGCTGTTAGTTTGGATGTTTCATCTTCAATATGTATTTTTAGAATGTTCACATAATGAAAGACTTATTCTTCTAAATTAATGGGTGTATCAGAGTTAAAATTTTATCTGTGAGCGGGGGCAACCCACAAAACAATTTTGGCTGCAGGGTTTGCCAGGACATTGGAAGTCTCTGATCTGTTAGATCATATCTTGATACCATGGAAATGCAGTGAATGAGATTGAGAGAACAGATTGACAGTTCTAGCTGTCTGCTTGCTGTCAAGAAGAGAGCAGTGGAATGGAATGACATCCTTAAACAACATTGAAGTCATGGCAAATGCTACACCTTTGTTTGGCAACGACAGCAGTCTCCTTTCGAAGGGTGATAGTGACGGAGTATTGGGCGGACACTTAACTACTCAAATTTATTTTAATTGTGAGAAGGAGGAATGGAGGGAGTTAAATGGTGGTATTGGGTAAGAGCTAACATTTGGGCCAGTCACCTTGAATGCCCTTTTAAGGTTGTAATACTTGCCAGAGCTGCTTAGCACAGGTGTCACTAAATTGAATGATTAGATTCTGAAGACAGAAAATGACCTTGTTTGTGACTACTTCTTGAAAAGTGAACGATGATAATATTTTATAGTACTGTATTTTGTGGTGTTAACTGCTCAGTTACAATGGGTGCGAGCATTGTATAAAAATCTTAATTCTGCATTCATCTGCTCACCTATATTTTCCATATTCATACAATTCTCTGATCATAGAATATCAGGGTTGGAAGGGACCTCAGGAGGTCATCTAGTCCAACCCCCCTGCTCAAAGCAGGACCAATTCCCAACTACCAGCCAGGGCTTTGTCAAGCCTGACCTTAAAAACCTCTAAGGAAGGAGATTCCACCACCTCCCTAGGTAACCTATTCCAGTGTTTCACCACCCTCCTAATGAAAAAGTTTTTCCTAATATCCAAACTAACCCTCCCACACTGCAACTTGAGATCATTACTCCTTGTTCTGTCATCTGCCACCACTGAGAACAGTCTAGATCCATCCTCTTTGGAACCCCCTTTCAGGTAGTTGAAAGCAGCTATCAAATTCCCCCCTCATTCTTCTCTTCTGCAGACTAAACGATCCCAGTTCCCTCAGCCTCTCCTCATAAGTCATGTGTTCCAGCCCCCTAATAATTTTTGTTGCCCTCTGTTGGACTCTTTCCAATTTTTCCACATCCTTCTTGTAGCATGGGGCCCAAAACTGGACACAGTACTCCAGATGAGGCCTCAGCAATGTCAAATAGAGGGGAATGATCACGTCCCTCGATCTGCTGGCAATGCCCCTACTTATACAGCCCAAAATGCCATTAGCCTTCTTGGCAACAAGAGCACACTGTTGACTCATATCCAGCTTCTCATCCACTGTGACCCCCTAGGTCCTTTTCTGCAGAACTGCTACCTAGCCATTCGGTCCCTAATCTGTAGCAGTGCATAGGATTCTTCCGTCCTAAGTGCAGGACTCTGCACTTGTCCTTGTTGAACCTCATCAGGTTTTTTTTTGGCCCAATCCTCTAATTTGTCTAGGTCCCTCTGTATCCTATCCCTACCCTCCAGCATATCTACCACTCCTCCCAGTTTAGTGTCATCTGCAAACTTGCTGAGAGTGCAGTCCACGCCATCCTCCAGATCATTAATGTGGAGATGATTAAGTTGTTGCAGGGTTGACTATGACTTTGAATGGGGGAAGTAGGTAGCAGAATTAGTAGAGCTGTTTAAGATTCTAGTCTCATATAAACGAATTTAGAAAGAAATACAGCGATGTTACGGGGGAGGGATAGCTCAGTGGTTTGAGCATTGGCCTGCTAAACCCAAGGTTGTGAGTTCAATCCTTGAAGGGGCCATTTAGGGAACGGGGGTAAAAATCTGTCTGGGGATTGGTCTTGCTTTGAGCAGGGGGTTGGACTAGATGACCTCCTGAGGTTCCTTCCAACCCTGATATTCTATGATTCTATATTGAAAGAATAGAAGGTTTCTCAGATCAAGAAGTCTGTTTAATTTTAGCAGGAGTTTTACCAGTGAATATGGGTTTAATCTGAAAACCAGCTTGAACTAAACTACTAGAGAAACTATTATAGAGACTTGACAGAAATACAGCTAAATCAGTTATGAGAGAGATCAGAAATTAAGCCTAATGTTTATCCTTGTAGGCTATATATGAGCGCCTTTTCTGTTGGATTGTTACACATATCAATGACATCATTGAGGTGAAGAACTATGACACCACAATCCATGGGAAAAACACAGTCATTGGAGTCCTGGATATCTATGGCTTTGAGATCTTCGACAACAACAGGTAAGCTGCATTGATAGAGAAGGAAACTGATGCTTCATCTTGCCTGAAATGAAAAACTAATCAATTTTTTCTCAACTTTATTTTTGCAGTTTTGAACAGTTCTGCATTAATTACTGCAATGAAAAGCTGCAGCAGCTTTTTATTCAGCTAGTTCTAAAGCAAGAACAGGAGGAGTATCAGCGAGAGGGGATTCCCTGGAATCATGTGAGTGAATTGGCAGTGGGGGTCTGCTTGAATCCAGTGTACCAGTATAGGGCCTGGTCCTGAAGTTGCTTCTCATGTAAACTCCCATCAAAGTCAGTGGGAGCTCTGTATCCAGAGCAGATGCAGCACCAGACTTGTTATCCATAAATCACTCTGGACGAAGCAAACTGAAAATATGACACCCTTTCTATACATTTTGTGGCCTCTTTCTGGCTATCATTGTAAACTGGGTGATATGTATATTTAGTTAAACAGGTGTTCAAGTAGAAAGATTTTTTGAAATTGATCCTTTCTAACTGGTAGGATTTTGATTAGAAGATGCTGGTTCAGATTGTATAGACATTACAATCCTGATCCTCTACTATAGAAAATCAGTGGCAAAACTCGTTGATTTCATTGGTGAAAAATCTGGCCTTATAATTGCATAGACCAGGCTTTATGAGCCAGTTATGAAAATGTAATGGGGAAATCTATTATAGGAATACATTTCAGGGGAAGGGTAGTTACACTTATTACCCACTTTCTTATATTGTTGGAAAGCATTTGGCCTTTGTGTGCCTTCCAATATGACTGCAGCCTGCTAGTGTCCAGTAAAATTGCACAAAATCATATATACCACTACCTTGCTGTCACAACTTCCACTACCATAAGTGTGTTCATGAATGTCTCACTAAGGTGACTCTTGAAAGATACTGTAGTTGATTATGGGATTGGTGCAGTGGTAATCTGAAACATGTGAAAGGAGACCCTTCTCTGCTGTGCCTCTTAGTGCTGCAAGTGTTTCTGCTATAGTTACCCACTTCTTGAAAAATAAAACTCTTTGGAGCTATATAGGAATGAAGAGGGCCAACTATAGACATACTTATGGGGGGTAGCATGTGTATCATGTTAAAGCTGCCTAGCCAAATAGACATCAGGTGAGCCTCTTCCACTAGATTCTTTCGTTTTTCGATTTGAATGTTGGCGATGAAAGTAATGTTTACAGAACTCCTGTGCCCTAAGAGGAAGAGCAGCTACTGGGTCAGATTCTCCTCTGTTATGTTTGTCTTCCTACTGGAATCAATGGGGTTTCCACTGAGGTAACTGAACAAAGTTAAACGTACTTTTTAATGCTAATGACTAGGGTTTTTTTGCCTGCTTTAGTAAAATCTAATCCTGATGCAACAACTTTGCTTTCAGTCACTAGACTCCAAGTAAGGGATGAAGTTTGGACATGAGTACTAAGTATGTGTTACAAGTACACTTCTGTTAGGGCTGGTCTACACTGGGGGGGGATCGATCTAAGATACGCAACTTCAGCTACGCGAATAGTGTAGCTGAAGTCGAAGTATCTTAGATCGAATTACCTGGGGTCCAGACGGCGCGGGATTGACGGCCGCGGCTCCCCCGTCAAGTGCGCTACCGCCGCTCGCTCTGGTGGAGTTCCGGAGTCGATGGTGAGCGCGTTCGGGGATCGATATATCGCGTCTTAACGAGACGCGATATATCGATCCCGGATAAATCGATTGCTACTCGCCGATACCGCGGGTAGTGAAGACATACCCTTAGAGTAGGAAATCTGAATATATGATCTGCAGTCCAGCATATTTTCAGATTGTCTGTTTGGGAAGCAGTAATTTTCATTATTTCATTATTATACATACATAATTTCTATGTATATTTTATTTCCACTACCTCAGTGGATCTCAAATTATGGTCTATGGAGTATCAGTGGACCACAGAATGGCATGTTTTGCAAAGCAAACAGTGGGATATTTTGGGGACATAGAGGCCTAGGAGAAAGAAATGCTCAAAGTGGTCTGTAGAATGAAACTGTTGAGCACTGCACCACTGCATAATGAGCCTAGTACTTCTCAGTTTAGTTTCTTTATTACAGTTAATAAAGCTGTATTGCACATAATTCTCCCTGTATGGTTACTGGTGTGTACATAAGTGTGGGTACTATTTGTTCATCCACTTCCTTCTCACTCAATAGTGAGAGAAGACCTGCAAATACCTGTTGTTTTGTGTTCTGCAGATTGATTATTTCAACAACCAGATCATTGTGGATCTGGTGGAACAGCAGCACAAAGGGATCATTGCCATTCTGGATGATGCCTGCATGAATGTTGGAAAAGTCACCGATGAGATGTTCCTTGAGGCACTGAATAACAAACTGGGGAAACATGCTCATTTCTCCAGCAGAAAGGTAAACTGTTCATCTGTGTAATCAGAACCCACCTCTCTTCACATGCAGCACATGCTGTATCATTCTAAATGGGATAAGGAAAAGGACTCACACAGTGACTTGAATAGAGGAAGGCCCTTTTCTAGAATAAAACTTAAATGTCTGCTGCACATAGAATTTCTGTATTTATATGGCCAATCAAGTTCTCTTGTTTAGAATGAATGAATGAATGTTATAATGGTTTGTATCCAGAAGAGGGAGCTAAAGTATGATCAATTCAGGAGATTTTATTTCAAGGGGAAAATGGGAAAGCATGAACTTGTCTTGACATATGATGTCATTTATAACCAATAGGTGCACAGTTCCAGTTCATGTGACTGTTCCCTACTCAACCAGCTTTAATATGCTGTGGCAGTGAAAATGGCTCACATTTCTGCTTTATTACAGCTATGTAATCTTCACCCTCAATGGCTATAAAAGGTGCTCATCTTAAATTGTACCCATAATCCTCCAGACCCTTTGATTTGCTTTGTTTTTGATATGACAACCAGTTAAAAGATTTTGTCACTTGGTAGTATTTTAAAAATACAGGCTCTGGCCTGATAAATTTGAGAACCACTCGGATTGAATAATCCAATAATGTCCTTTAATTTACTGATGCCTTTTCATTGAGAAATAGTATTTGAAAATGTGTTCATTAGAATACCGTCTTCACCACTGCACAGCTTTGTATATAAGGTAGGAATATCACCGTAGCATACTTGTCTAAGAAATGTGCTAGAGACTGTCTCCAGAGACTCTGAATTCAAACAGCAGAAAGAGCCCTGGATCTGGCTTGTTTTAGTGAAGAATGGAAATGGAAGTAAAATCAAAAGATTTTCATTCAGCTATGGCTTATTCTTAAGCACACTTCACTCGGAGTGTAACCTGTCAGCTAAACTGGCATACACAATTTTTTGGTAAACAGCGAACAATATTCTCACTGTCAGCACTAAACTGTGGGATTGCTGTGCAGTTAAGGTAGGGGCATATGTTATGAATACTTCAAATCTTATGAGTAAATGGCAGTGAATTTACTCAGTGTATTGAAGTGTTATGTCTGTCATGCATAATTGAGGCTAGTGAATTTGGATGCAAATTCTTTCCTTTGTTGTTAATAATGCTTTTGAATGGTTCCAGTCTCAGGAGCTTGGGGAATGAAGTCTTATATTTTCAGAACAGGTATAGCAAGGGCAGCAATAGTCCAGATTCCCAGTGCTACCCTGCCAATATACTTAAACCCAAAGGAAGATCATTCTCCATGACCTGTTCGTTCCTAGGAGTACGTCTATACCCAGCCGCTAGTTCGGCGGCTGGAAATCGAACTTCTGGGTTCGACTTATCGCGTCTTGTCTGGACGCGATAAGTCGAACCAGGAAGTGATCGCCGTCGACTGCGGTACTCCAACTAGACGAGAGGAGTACCGCGGAGTCGACGGGGGAGCCTGCCTGCTGCGTGTGGACCGAGGTAAGTTCGAACTAAGGTACTTCGAACTTCAGCTACGTTATTCACGTACCTTAGTTCGAATTGGGGGGTAAGTGTAGACCAAGCCTAAGTCTCTTCTCTGCTGAGACCACCAGCAAATGGCTATGCATGGAGGTGAGAGCTGTTGGTATACTGTGCTGGTGTGAGGGGAAGTGAATTTGATAATGAGCGAGGGGCTATAAATGGGAAAGCCACAACTGACTGAACCACTGGCTTCAGGAGTTTCTTCCTTGTATAGGAAACATTCAACCGTATGATGTAGTGCCAATACCAGTATTCCTCAGCAGGGAGGAAATTCTATATTAGCACAGACTGAAAGAGAAAACAAGGGATACAAAAAGAAATGAGCACTTCCGCATGTGTAGCCAGTTATACTAATTACTGATGGGAAAACAATCGTATCAGATAGTGTAAATCAATATTACCTTGAAGGTTTTGACCCATCAAATCCTCAGCATCTTGTTTCTTCTTCTGATCTCTTGCACCCCTGCAAACAACATTCTTCTCACTAATACCTAAAATATCTTTTTTACTGGCTCTTGCTTCCTCCAGTTACCACCCAATAAAAGTCTGAATTGTTTCCACCTTCATATTTTAAGTTACAAATAAAGACCTGGTTTCATTTTGCTTCCACTTATTTACTTGGCTTTGTGGACTGCAGTTAAAATACTGTAGTATCTGTCAGCTAAAGTCTTAGCATAATTACTGTGTAAATTAAAGATATTGAGGAAGATGTTCTTAGAGTTAAAATACATGTGCTGATATGCTCTGGGAATAGCTCCTGTTTTCCAGCCTCATGGTTAATGCTTCACTGCTCCCCTCTACAGTATGTTGCACTCCACATCAGTGTGGATAAGCTCTAAGGGGCTGCTGTGCCCTAAATAGTCGTGTCCTAGTTTATGTACTGCATATCTAATCTATTGCTTTCTGCTTAGTTGTTCTGGTTATTCTGATGAAACCTAGACAGACTAGAATAAATACAAGCTTTACACTGTGGCAATAAATAGACAGCAAAAATGTAGTATTGCTCACAACACCTGTGATGTAAGTAGCAAAGTATTATCAATGAGCAAGGGTTTGTCTTACATTCAGGTTTGTAATTGATTAATCTTGTGACTGTAAGAGGGTCAGGTGCACTGATGGGTAACCATCAGTGAATTCCTAAATCAACTTTAAATGTTGGGAGATTCTCAGAGGGCAGGTGAAGTGACTCACTAAAGGTCACAGTGAGTTGGTGGCAGAGGTGCTATAACAACTTAGTACCATGCTCACCCTTTAACCATGGTGCCTTTTATTCATTTCAGTTGTGGTTTGTGTTTAGAACTAGCAAGATTTAGTATGCTCAGATGTAAACATTCCCTATTTACATCTATCTATCTATTACTCATTCCGTAAATCCCATATACATCGGTGTTGCTCTCGAACTCATGCTCGTTAGAGTCCACATCGAGAAAACTAAAGCCAAGGTTAGCATATGAAACAACATTCTCAGTGAACTGGTTACATCAGAATGTGTTGGAGAGCTGTCCATTCCATAATCAACAGCACTGGCACTTTGCTATTCCTTTGCTGTATATGCCTATGCAGTGTGGGCACGATTCCCTCACGCAAAGAAACTAGACCTTGTACTTAATGCCACCTGCTGCTATGTTACAGGATACCTTACGCCTACTCATGTGAGCAGCCTCTACGCCCTTGCAGGTATTGCTCCTCCTAATGTACATTGTGAAATTGCTAATAGAATGCAGAAGGCAATGCACATATCCAAGACATCCGCTATATGATATAACACTGACGCTGAGTTGACTGAAGTCACAACAAAGTTTTCTTGCCACTATTAAACCCCTAACATTGTTGCCCAAACAGACAAGGTTTCAGTTTTGGCAAATGAGTAGAGAATGACCCTGTAGCCTCTGTGCTCCGATTCCCATCAGTGGAGCACCTGCCACCCAATGCAGATCAGCCCTGGGGTATATGGCATTGTGTTAATCAACTCTGCACTGGAGTCTGCCAGTCTAGAGATGCAGTGATAAAGTGGGGCTATGTTACTGGCCCCACTACCTGTGACTGTGGCAGAAAGACTCAAAATATGATGAAGCATCTCCTGCAGTGCCATTCCTTGACCATGAATGCTCTTCCAGTGAGCTGGCAGAGTGCAATGATCAGGCAATTGCATGTGCGTGGATGTGGCGGAAAACAGTATGAGGACAGAAAAAGAAGATCCCATAGTTAACCAGCTGAGCAGTTTATGGTGCTACAACCACTATGCCAATTCAAGGCTGTGACCTTCACATGGCTGATGTATTTAGTTTCCTAGGAGGATGGGTGCCGTTTGACATCTGTCAAACCATGAAGTAGCATTAGCACTATTTGTCTGAGGGTACGTCTACATTACAAAATTATGTTGACCTAAGTTACGTTGACATACAGCCACCGCAGTAATTAAATCGCTTTTGCACGTCCACACTACGCTCCTTGTGTTGGTGGTGCGCATCCTCACCAGGAGCACTTGCACCGATTGAACTGTCAGTGTGGGGTATTGTGCAACGGCTTCTGAAAGGCAGCAACAATCAATGTCAGCAACAAGTGTCTATGCTGAAACTGCATCGACCTAAGTGCTACGCCTCTCATGGAAGTGGAGTTAACTCAGCATAGTGGGTGAGTTACATCTGCACGAGCGAAGTTTTAGTGTAGACACTTACAGAGTTAGTTTGACATAAGCTGCCTTGCATCAGCCTAACTCTGTAGTGTAGACCAGGTCTGAGAGAGGTAGCAGTTTACTTTTGAACTTGATATGTATTTTGAAGGCCAAATAGCCAGCAAAAAAGGATAAGATGTGAACTGAGAGAAGTTTGAAAAAGAAGGAAACTGCTTTTCTGCAATCACAGAATCATGGAATCTCAGGGTTGGAAGGGACCTCAGGAGGTATCTAGTCCAACCCCTGCTCAAAGCAGGACCAATCCCCAACTAAATCATCCCAGCCAGGGGTGTGTGTGTGTGTGTGGGGAGGATCAGGGCAGAGGGCTGGGGTGTGTGTGGAGGTGCAGGGCACAAGGCTGGGTGTGGGGGGGGTTCAGGGCAGAGGGCTGGGGGTGTGTGGAGGTGCAGGGCAGAGGGATGGGTGTGTGTTGGGGTGGGGGGGTGCAGGGCAGAAGGCTGGGGTGCTCGGCTCGTGGGGGTGCTCCCAGCCCCCTGCCCTGAGCGGCTCATGGCAGGGGGCTGGGAGGGATATGCCCTGTTCCACCCCCTTCCCCAAGGCCCGTCCCTACCTCTCTCTGCCTGCTCTACGGAGCAGTGAGCACGCT